ACAGAGATGATAGCAGCTGAGCACAGGGAGGTAGCTTTTTCCTCATTCTTTAAAGGAACAATGCAGCATCGCCTGTCGGCCCAGAAGCTTAAAAGCATAACACAATAGAAGCATTTTGTCTTTTCTGAGATAAAATCTCAATTTCAGCCTTTTTTCTGACAGCACCTCTGCTCATAAGCGCTCCTAAAAATCACATGTGATGTGATCCCTTACTGCAGGAGATGGAAGATGTGTTAACATTCCTCTCTTTGATGCTGGAAGGGTTATTGCTCAACATTATTACCATTAACAGAGATTTTCCTTTCAGTTTTAGTCTGGAACCACAGAAAGCAACCTCTGATAGGTATTGCTTTGTTTTTGTAAAAAATGAAGCCTATGAAGCAGCTGTAAGGCTGGAGTCAGTGGTGCATTTATGCACTGATTCGTACATTTTGTTTCTCCAAATAAATAAAAAAATACTATTAAGATAATATTAAGAGTCATATTCAATAATTAGGATGTTCTTTTTTTTTTTTTTTTTTTTAGTAACTAAGGGCAGGAATATTGGATATAAATTATTTAAACATGTTGTTTTAAGCATTGATTTCTGTTAATTATAATGATTTCTCACAGCTAATAAAATAAAAATATTGCAAAAATTGTGGTAAATATCTGAATAATAACTTCTTTTTTCAGCAGTACCATTATATTTTAAGGGAGAAAAATATTCTTCCTGTTACATAAACAGAGAAACTTTAAATATATTGCAGGGATGGGACTGTTGAGAAGTTAAAGTGAGAGCCCACTCATTCCTTCCCTGTTTATTGTGTCTGGATGTGGTTTTGGTCTAGTTTTCTAAGTCCTGGTTTAAAAACTGCGGAAAAAGATAAAACTCGAATCTCATCAGAGGGGAAAGCCTCTAACTTAGTCAGAAGGCCATTGTTTTCTTCCCCTCTTGCTCTAAAGACTAATCTGGGAGTAAATGAAATAGATGATCCATAAAACTGTGATTTTTTTGGTAATTCTATTTTGTGATGTTTTATGAAATTTGAAGTTTACATGCAACTAAATTTGTATGTATTTTTAACAATTTAAGATCAACTAAAGGATATCTATTAAGCGATTCCTGAACTCACTCAGGTCAGACACAATGCTTCTCTGGGGTAACATAAGAGGAATTCAAAAAAGCATCAATAAAAAAAACTGTGAGCCTTCACAGCTCTGGTGCATCATTCTCAGATGTATGAAGGCACCATGTTTGCTCTATTCAATCAGTTTTATTCTTATAAGAACAAGGAATGTTTAACCACTGCACCAAAGGGGGCGGAATGAGAGGAGGCTCGTCGCTGGATAGTGGACAGTTTTTATTGATCATCTATCAACAGTGATCAGCGGGTCAAACGATGGAAAAATTTAAATTTTTTCTCATACTCAATAAATGCATTAAAACCAAAAGACCCTATTTTTAATTTAGGTAAAGCAATTAACGCTTTTTGTTTTTTAATCAACCACTTCTTGAGCTTGAAGAAAGACAGATCAGATTAGCGACTTAATTAAATTTAAGCCCTTCATTTTATTTTGTATTCAAAATGTCTGACTTTATAAGAAAACCTGTAGTTTCCCTTTTTGTTCATTTTTTTTATGTCCCTAACTCTGATTTGATATAATCTTTTAACCGTTCTTTTCACTCTATGCTATTTTCATCACACCTCTCCTGTGCCATATCTTTCTCCCTCTTTAGCCAAGGTTTCTCACTAATTTTGGTTCAGTGAAGAGTTTTAAGTATTTTTAGTGTTTGCAACACGTTTCTGTAACACTTCTTTTATACAAACAGATGCTTGGCAACAACCCTTATAATGTCTGAAATATGACAACAGAGGCATCTAAACCAAAGGTGTCACATAGATTTTCACCGAAAGCTACAGAGAAACTATTTCTGAAACATAGGGTTCAGACAGACATTATTTAAAATGTGCAGGGGTAAAATAACAGGAAAAGACAAGCAACATCCAGCACTCTGGTGTGAAAATGTAAGATTTAAAGCCTCAAGACTATTGAGATGTTAGAATTACTTCAATAATGCTAGATTTATGGGAACAGATTCTCGGTGTAATGGCCAAACCTCACCAAAGCATTAAATCAGCATCCCAGTGCAGCCAGGACCACTGATACACATGCTGCATATTGATCACTTATTTCACTCTGCTCTGAAAGGTTGACTCTTTTACATTTTACCAAACAAACATCTGACCAAAGAGCACCCTTAGTGGAAAGTCATTGAAGATTTAAACTAAATCTACGTGTTTATGGAAGCAGGACAGCAACAGGCCTCTGTTACCATACTGGTCATTTAGTCTGCCGGCAAGATAATACGGTATTTCTGTTTAGGTGAACAAATGCTCTTGTCTCTCACCTTATATCGGTGTAACAGAAAGTCTAGTTGAAAGTAAACCCATTAAGCCCGGCAGAACCGGTACCGAGCCCAGCAAACACCAGCTGAGCACCAGCCAGGCCAAAACACAGTCACATGATGTTTCATCCACACGCCTTTTAAATGGGGCTTTAAAATTTCTAAAACATGTTTCCAAATATTTTTTTGACAAATTCTTTTTGTTTTATAGCTGTGTAAACATATAAAACATGTCTGACTGCAGAAACAATGCAACACCAGGTATTCATTTTTAGCCACACCCCCTAATGGCATCCTTGTAAACTATAGTTTACAGTCTAGAGACTCAAACCTTTCCAAGGAGGGGTCAGAGGTAATTGGCCAACCAATTCAGCTGATGTAACCGGCCAAGGTTACATAAGCCTGCTCTGTTCTTCTTATTTTCTATTCAGTTTGGTGATTTTATTGGCAAATTTCAACGAAACAACGACTAAATCATAGGAGTCTCCAATAATGTAAATCAGCATATTAGTCTGAGCAGATTCCCTTTAATGAGTAGAAAAATGCATTTTTGCAAGTTTGGCCACTTTTGGCACTATGCCAAAATCACACTTTAACTTATTCATTCCAAATTAGCTTGAGTTACAGTCAAGATGTGGATCTATAAAGTCTGAGTGTTCATACGGAGTTTCAAATGGGATTTCATGGTGTTTTGCAGTGTTTATTTGGAAAAAATTGGCCAGGCTAAATATTTTAAATTTTTTCTTTGTTTAATCACCTATAAATCAGACATGGTGACATTTAAAATTGTGGTGCCACCAGAAAAATATTCCCCAATGCCCTTCTGTCACACAAATCAAACAATTGTTTTTCCAATTTATAGTTTGGGAGCTGTTCTTGCTTTGATTCACATACGTAATTTCATGCGGAATGTGCTCCTAAGACCCTCTGGCTTAAGGGGTTAAGATAACAACCAGATATTTTTCTTAATGTACTGCTGGTGCAATAAAATAAATTTTTTTTCCCTTTATGCCCTTCTTTTCAGAGCTATTAATGTGTAAACAGCACCAATAAACAACAACTAAAAAGCATTTAGAATAAGGTAAAAGAAAAAACAAAAAAAATGCACTTAAAGAAAAGTAAATCGATGACAGTGTCCCTTCGTGGCAGGTAGACATGACCCCAGGAATGCAGGAGGGTAGGGTACAATTAAATTATTGGTTTCAATAAACTGTAGAGGTCTGTGTGTATCACTGAGCTGTAGCCTGGTGATCCATCATCAGCGGCGAGGATGTGGAAGTGGGAGGATGATGAGCGAACCAGAGGGGCATGTCGATGGCAGAAGCAAAGAGTGGCTCTCCACCTTCATGAGTGCTGGAGTCTCTGGTAGCTTCGGCTTTTAAAAAGATGTTTTATGTATGCATGTTTGAAAAAAAAAACCCAAAAACATCCCACAAAGCGAAAGGGCATGCACCATTAGGGCTCTGTGCAGCAGCAATCCCTTCAAGTATTTCTAATGATCTGGAGTCACACAAAAATACCTGATATATGATTTTCACTTTATCAGCTCATATTGAAAAAGATATTTTGTTATTTATTAATTAGGGGAATCAATACTGAACATTTCCACTGCTTTTTGTCTGTAAATGCAGAAAACAACATATATTCTGGCACACATTTGTCTTCATCTATAACCACTTTCCATGCAGGGTTAAAGTCTATTGCACCGGTTGAACTAACATGCATTGTTTTGAACTATCAATGATAGCCAAACCACCCAGAGAAATCCTGCTCACATTGGTGGAATTCAGACCCAGTATCTTCTTGCTGAAAGACAGCTGTGCTTAGAAATGTCCAAAACAGAAAACCTGTCAGGGATAATTGTAGTGATGCCTAAAAAAATGGAGCATTATATCATTCCTTTATTTTCTGTTGCATTTGAAAACTAATGACTCAATTTCAGACACTTTCCTTTTAATTCCTGATACATCACTTCATAATATATAATGAAATCTCAAACTGCTCCTCTTTAATGTGATGTTGTTCAAATAACTATCCAACCCTTGCATTTGTGTAACCTACAGTGCAATACATTATATATATATATATATATATATATATATATATATATATTTATTTATTAATTTCTAAAAAAGCCTGGTCGATTGTCACAGTATGTTGTTAGATGACAAGACCTACTGAACAAATATTCAGAGATTGTAGTTTTTTTTTTAATCATTAGTATGAACCAAATATTCAAGCTTGAGTTTTTGGGCAGGTTTATTGCATTTGCCTTTGTGACTTGTTATTTTATGAGCTTCACCTGTCAGTTTTCTTCTCATTAGCAAACAGAAGGCAGCAGCTGTGTGTCACAGGTCAGTTCTCCACATCACTCCACATGTTTCTGTCAGGCAGCTTCATGCAACCCTCCATGTTTCTCATGTTACAAACATCTCCATGCTTACACACAATAACCAACTGCAACACAACAGACACCAGCACCCCCCCACCACCACCACCACCACATGCCGATGGAATACCCCCCCTCTAGATGGTGCGTTCAATTTCGCAGTAAATCATCCCCACCGCTCCGACCCGCCTGTTAAAATCACTCCCTAGCCACAAAACTTACCCGCCGTGACTCGAGAGACACCGAGGCAGCCGCTGAGGACGAGCAGGAAAAATCTCTCCATGATCTCTCAAACACTCGGAGGATGTGCGCTCCCATTTATTAACTCGGGCCGTGTTGCGCTGCTCGGCATCCACGTCAGTTCACGCGTTTAGTCTCGACTTTACCAGCGAGGGAGCGGTGGTTAAAACACCGCGGCTCTCCAGCACCTTGGACAGCTCCTCGCGGCTCATTCCGCAGCCGCGATAGTCTGCAGAGCTGCAGCCAGCATCATCATCATCTTCATCATCACGGACTGCACTGTTCACATGCGTCCAAATGTGCACCAGTCAGATCCCTCCTCCTGCTCAGCAGCGCTCGGCTGCAGCTGCAGACTGAAACGCGCTGCATGGTTTTGCGTGTGAGGCTTACATGCTACCCACTTAGACATCTCTAAACTTATAAACGTCCAAGTAAACACGTTCATTTCTTTAATTTCTGTCATTTCTAGGCCTCTGTAACCAAATTAAAGTTGCCACCAAACACCAGGACAGACCAGAAACAGAACAACCGCGTAGGATGAGCAGCTGATGAAGTGAAAACTTGTCACCAGCAGCTCACTTACGCCCCTGCGTTTACTTTTCCCACTATGTGAGCCAGAGCTCCAAATTATCGCTTCCCACTCATCTAATAAATATGCATACACAGTCCCACGCAAACAGTCGCCTGTGTGGGTACCCGTTTTTCCACTTCATAGGCAAACACGTGTCTCTTGACTTCACCACTGAGCTGTCACCCGCCTCTCCACCTCAGGTTTGTTTGTTAAGCGCCCGGAGCGCACGGTGAAGCTGGCGCAGAGGTGGATAAAGTCGATGTTACAGTACCTGACAGGTTCCCCGCAGCAAGCTCCAGGACTCGAAGCTCTCCGGGATGTTTGTGTGTTTGTTTCTACCTGTGTGCGTGTCCCGAGTCAGGAGACAGCCCACTGTCCCTTGCAGTGTCCCCAAAGAAGTGCTGACTTCGCCCCGCTGTGCGCCTCGATCTACAGCCCACTGACTCTGACGTGTAACAGGAGGAAAAGTCAGGTGGTGGAAGGGATTTATTGTTCTGTTTAAAAATACTTCATTCTCCTCTCGCCCTCTTCATTGTTTACGTGTAAAAAGAAGAAAGTAGGATATAAAATCTGCCAATTCACATTTGACATTTATAAATTTAATGTACTTCGGTGCATTTTATTACAATTTACAGCTGAGATGTGGTGTTGTTTTGTATTCTGAACAGCTCTAATACCCTTGCAGCCAGTTAATTTTATTGGTAAGGAAATATCTAATCTTCTGCGATTTTAACATAACAAATCCAGCTGTATTGTGAAGGCTGTGAAGAAAAGTCTCTTTCAGTTAAGGCAATTGGCCAAAATAAAGCCCATTATCTCCTGAGATCTTTTAGAGACAGTAATCCATGCCTTTATTACTACCCGGCTGGATTACTGTAACGCATTTTATTTCTATGGAGGACCAGCTCTACCATATTTACAAAAAAATACAGAAATAAATGAATGCTCAATAAATAAAAAAGCATACAATTAATTGCCCCCCAAAATACAATAAACAAATAAATGTAGGTAGAAACTAAATTATAGAGTGAGATATAAATATATCTCCTTATTAGCTTCTTTATTTATTTGCCTTTGTAATTTTATTTAATCACTTATTTACCCAGGAAAAAATTCCCCTTTGAGAATAAAAACCTCTTTTTCAAGGGAGTCCTGGCCAAGAGGCACCAAAGTTACTTAATAAACAAAATAAATAGATATACATTAAATTAAATGACAGGTACATAAGAAAAACATATAAAGTCAAACAATTACAGATAATTGAGGCTGCTTCAAATTCTTTCACTTTCAACTTAAAAACATTTAAGGATAAAAACTCAGTCAACTTCCAGCTTCTTTGTAAAAAATTCTATGCACAAGGAGCTGCGTAGCTAAAGACTTTTTTCCCTAGTTCTGTGCGGGCAAAAAGAACATTAAGACATGAATATGTATCATTCTTATAACAAAGGTTACCATAATCTAAGACAGATAAAAACATGGCAAAGACAAGGTGCTTTTTCACTCCAAAAGAAAAACATGTCATATTACGAAAGAAGAAGCCCAGTTTAACTTTTAATTTCTTCACAAGTTTAACAATAAAAGGTTTGCAGGTGAGGGAGTCATAAATTACAATTCCAAGGTATTTATATTCATGTAACACCTCAATGACATTCCCCTCCAGAGTGGATAACACTGGCAGGGTTTGAGGCACCTTCTTTTGATTTGAAAACAATAACTTTGTTTTGTCAGCATTAAGAAATAATTTAAGATTAATAAATGAATACTGTACAGCAACAAAGGCTTTCTGCAGGGTATAAATAGCCTGTTCAAGAGATGACCCAAAGCAATAAATAATAGTAGCATCAGCATAAAAATGCATATTAGTATCAGAGAAATGTACCAGGGGGCCAGGAGGGGGCCAGTGTGTTTTCATGTGGGCACAGAAAAAGCATGAAATAAAAAACAGGGCAAGGGATTCCAATATGTTAAGATAGCTGCATGAAGTGAAATTTCTATTCAATTAGGTTTAATTAAAATTCTAGGTCTTATTAGGCCTAATATACATTCGTAATTTAGGAATTGTATATATTTTTGACTTAATTTCTTTTAAAATTCCTAAAATCTGAATGAGAACTTAAGAAAAACTGATAAATTCAGCTGTAAAAGTCTAAGTATTTTTTAAAAAATTTTGTAAAACTTTTAGCAGATGAAAACTGGGATCCTATCTTAATAGCACTGAAGCTATCACCTTATTGTTTTTAGAAAATTTGTAAAACAGAATATGTAAGGAACAAAAAAAAAACAAAGAAATAGATCCAAATGACCTATCAGTAACCATGTCTGTTCCAAAACATATCATCATTAGAATTTCTTTGAGGATCATGTCTTCAGTGCAGGGTCCATAAAAGGGGCCAGGACATGTTCAACAGGGGCAGTGGCCCCTGTTAGCCCTTGCCTAGAACTGCCCATGTTAGTGCCTCTAACATTGCTTAACTCCAGAGAGTGCAAAACACTTCAGCATGTCTTTTATCCAGCATTTGTAAATATGAGCACATTACCCCAATTTTAGCCTCATTATACTGGCTCCCTGTACATTATAGGATTCATTTTAAAGTTCTTTTACTTGTTTTTAAGTCCCTCTGTGGTCTTGATCCATCTTATCTTTCTGAGTTGCTGCACCTTCATGCACCCCCCCGTTCACTCAGGTCAGCCGATCAGCTGCTTCTTCAGGTGCCAAAAACTAAACGGAATCTTAGGGGCGATCCTGCTTTCTCTGGGGCAGCTTCAAAAATGTGGAACAACCTTCCATTGCAAATTAAATTGTCTACTTCTTTGTCTGATTTTAAATTGCTCTTAAATACTCATATCTTTGCCTTGGCTTTCTAAACTGTGTGAGATGTTGATTTTAGTCTGTGATACATTATTTTAAATTACTTTTATTTTTATTCTATTATAGATTTTATAGTTCTAATTTTAATTTAATCTTTTATGCTTGTATGGTTTTTATGAGTCTGTGTAATGGTGTTAGTTGTTTCACTGTACAGCACTTTGGTCCTCTGATAAAGTGCTTTATAAATAGAGTTGGATTGGATTGGAAGGCTCCAGCGGACAAAAAACATCAAGAATAAAAGGATAAAAACAGAAAGATTGGAGGGGAGATATACATCAAGTTCTTCTAAAGTTTGAACAGATTCCTATCTGTTTTTAATAATCAAAATGTTTTTACCTGCAATTTATTGATGATCACACGTTTCTTGGACTTTTTTCAATGACATGATGTAATGTTTTAATCTGAAGTGTGCTTTGTGTTACATTCTCCATGTGTTTAATTTATTGGGTTTGTGTTGTGTGTGATTTCTTAATTCATGAACTGTTTCTGATTTATAAATTCATTGTTTAGTTTCTTAATGTTTTCTGGTGTTCTGTTCTTTGTATATTTCTATTTATTTCTTTTGGTCGGTTTGATTTTTTTCCACTTGAGTCTAAGTTCAAAAGTGAACCAGTTCTATTCCTGTGTATTATTGTTCTTCATTATCTTCCCTGCTTTTATTGTGCCCTAGCTGATCCACATTTCCTTTGATAAGCTCATATTTTTTCTTGAATATATTCTACCATGCAAGAGTATTTAGGCTCTAATTTTGAAATTCTTAACATTTATATTTTTTTGTGTCTGAAACAAGTTTTCTTTTTTTCCCCCCAGCAGTTTTATTGTCATTACACTGTAATAAGTACAGCACAACGAAATTCACTGTCTGCATTTAACCCATCCCCTTGGGGACCAGTGGGCTGCCATTGTGCGACGCCTGAGGAGCAGTGTGGGATAAAGGGTCTTTGATCAGGGAACCAGAGTGGTAGTCTGTGGGTGTGGGTTTAGAACTCACAACCTCAGGATTCCAACCCCTATAACCTAACCAATAGGTCACCACTCCCCTAAAAACATCAGCCTTTGTGTAACTAACTGGTGAATTGAGTCAATTAAATAAAATGTATCATTGACACTGAGCCTGGTTCTGCTGGAGGTTTCATCCTGTTAAAAGGGAGTTTTTCCTCTCCACTGTCGCTAGAAGCATGCTTAGTGTGAAGGATTGCTGAAGAGTCAATGAGTCGATGCAATCAAGTGATTTTCCTTAGATAGAAATCTTTGAATCAATTTCACTATATGATCTGGTGAAGATAATATCTGCGACAAAGGTCCATAACCTTTATGGACAGGATTTCTAGGCACAGC